ATGTTGCTGTAAAAGATTATTCCAAGATGTAAAAGAGTATTTGAAAGAATTTTTCCAACAATATGATCCAACTTCATTAAGTTTTATTCGGGAGGCCCCATTGAGTTTGGTTTACAATATGATCCCAGGAGTACAGCTTTCTCACTGGCAGTGCCAAAATAATGAAACTATCTCCTAAAAGGTATAGTATTTGGATCAATAAAATATTTGAATATATCCTTGTGTACTTAGGCATTTATGAAAATACACTCCCTTTAAACATGTCTGTGATTTATTTAGGTTTTTTGATTTTTAAAAAATGAGAGTTCATTTTATTTTTTTATTATTATTAAGCACTGATGCATTTGATTGTTGCATTTAAGATTCATCTCCTTTTTTCTTTTGGTCCTGTAAATCTCCTTGGCTCTGTTTGGAAGAAAAATGATATAGAAACAAAACAAATACTGGAAGACAAGGCAATACACATGAAACAATTAGATGACCTGCAATCATAATTTCTATCTCTCCCACTGTTGGATCTTCGGAATTGGTAAGGAATAAGTTCACATCTCCCACCATACAGTCTTCTTCTGTGGCTTTCTGACTAGACCACTTTTCAGCATCAAGTATTATAAATGTGCATTCTGGGTAATGTAAAAAAAATGTAGCAGAATCAAAAAAAATATTATGAATCTCTGCAAGAAACATAAGGTATAAAATCAAGGTAAATATATATGATTATAGAAGCAATATTACCTAGCTTTGGCCACTATTCTACTTTCTTACCAGCACTCCGCTTCACATTCAGCAGGCATAGAAAACTGAATTAAAGACTTCTCACTTTACATAGATATATATATCTTTTAAGGGCAATTTATAGTATTTTTCTGAAATACTGCAATCAATTGACATCAGATAAAAAATAAATATCTGGTCTTTACAATAAAATTTAAGACAGCATTGTAGCTTAATAAAACTAATGTTAAAAAGCCAAAGAAAACAGTTGGTTTGTACAACTTTTCTAAACAAACAGTGACAGACACCCAATGGCAACTCATTCTAGCATTGTGCAATATTACAGAAAACATTTCCAGCCTGCTGATTCCAATTTCACTGACCACAAATGTTTGAAAGAGATTTTTGTTTCATGTATGAGCAGTAGAGATCTCTTTCTAAATACATAACACACATGTATAGTGTGTTATAAAAGTCTAGCCTGAATGCCATCAGGTTGCACATTTGGGTTTTTGACAGGAGTACAACCTTATTTAAGAACTGTTGATCTCCATAAAACATTTAGTTTTCCAAACTTTAACTCCATTGTCTTGTTCTCTTATATCTACCCTAAAGTGCTTTCAAATCCCAACTCACAAATTCTAGGGCCACCTTGGAATAAATAGATATGAAGAAATAGTAAACAGATTCTCATTAATGACTGCATGGAACTTCAGGATTACTTCCTTGAAGGATTTCAGGGAAATGTTAAAATATGGTAGAAGCCTGTTCACAGATTAATATTGTCCTTGGACTAACAACGCTGTGTAAAATAGAAATGTCCTAGCATCTCATTTTGAGATTGCTCTTCCAGGAAGAACTGGAAATATTAATATCATGTCTCCTAACTGTAATCCAAACAAGTGATGCAGAAGGGTATCAAAAAAAGCTGAAAAGGCTAAAACCACCAATTAAACTGTATTCCTTCAGAAACCTTTCAACAAGCATAATAGAATTTCCGTGCCCCATAATATAAACATCTTAAATCAGATTTTCTATTATGTTACAGCATCCCCTTGTATCTGATCATGATTGAACGGAGTTAAAATAAAAAGCATTTCCATAACTGAAAATTATGAAATTGCAAATTTTAAACTGTGACATGGAGTAGCAATGGTCTAAAACGGCCACTTTGAACTATCTGTGGGGCTTGTCATAGGGGTGTGTCATACTGAAGAGGTTAACAGACTGAGGTAAGACCCCACCTCCTCCCCGTGTGCATCTTGTTCCTTTCCTTGCCATCTCTGTTAATTTTAAAGTCAATTTTAGTGTCAATATTTATTGTTTTAATGTTTTAGCTTGTTGCTTTTATCGGTTGTAAGCAGCCTAGCCAAGATGGGCAGCATATAAGTTTAGTAGATAAATAACATTTGTGAAATGAACCACCCAACATATGTGCAGACTATCCATTTCCAGGTCTTCCCAAATATTCAGAAATCTCACTGTCTGCATCTTCCCGCCAGCTGCACTGCATCTCATACTCCTGTTCAAGGCTTAGTGGCTCAGATGCAGTCAGACGCTGTAGTTCTTCAGACTTCATCCACTCATGGTATCTGATCAGAAAAAAATGAGAAAAAGTAAATAGGCTTCTTTAGAATATTAGCCACTATAAGCTGCTATGATGTTAAGTGCACCTCTTGATGAACTTGTGGTTAGTAAAACAATGTAACTCATATAGGCATTTGAATAGCCCCCCCCCCATTCAGATTAAGAGTTGCCATCTCAAATTCTGCACACTAGCCCTTTCCTCCAGTTAGAGGTTGAACTTACAGGTGGTCCTCGATTTACAACAGTTCATTTAGTGACCATTCAAAGTTACAATGGCACTGAAAAAGTGACTTATGATAGTTTTTCATAATTACAACCTTTGCAGCATCCCCACGGTCACATGATCAAAATTCTTATTTTGACTCATATTTATGACAGTTGCAGTGTCCCGAGGTCATGTGATCAACTTTTGTGACCTTCTGACAAGCAAAGTCAAGCTATTCTCCAAAGCACCTGAAGGCAGGACAAGAAGCAACACATGGAAACTAACCAAAGAGAGAAGCAACTTAGAACTAAGGAGAAATTTCCTGACAGTCAGAACAATTAATCAGTGGAACAACCTGCCTCTAGAAGCTGTGAATGCTCCAACACTGGAAGTTTTTAAGAAGAGACTGGACAGCCATTTGTCTGAAATGGTATAGGGTTTCCTTCCTGAGCAAGGGGTTGGATTAGATGACCTCCAAGGTCCCTTCCAACATCATCATCATCGTTGTTGTTGTTATTATTATTATATGGGGAAGCCAGATTCACTTAACAACATATGCTATTAACTTAACAGCTGCAGTGATTCACTGAACAACTGTGACAAGAAAGGTCATAAAATTCACTTAACAACTATCTTGTGTGGGACTACCTATACCTGACCCTTAGAAAGTGGGTTTCTGCCTATGATGAGAGGAGAGAAGCTGAATATATCATGCTGTACCTTTTCTTTATTTTTACAAAAAAAACCCCACCTGATAAACATTTATCACGGAAACTGGCATTTTGTTGAATTTCACAGCATGACCTTAGAACAATGGAAAAAACAGGGCTAATGGCTGCATCTGGCATATGATGCTTGGGTTTCCTATCACTGCTCTGGATAGGAAGTAATACAATTTAGGACAAAGACTAAGCAAGTACGCAGAGCTCATTTCATAAGAAATGGGTTAAGTCCCTTTTGATCCTCAGTTCCCATTCACTTTTACATGAAAGGGGGAAAAGGATTTCATGTGGTGAAAATCTTGCACACAAGGGAAAATATGGGATCTTCCTCTGATAGTGCGAAGCCTGATCTCCATTCAGAAATGATTTTCAGACCTTTATTCTGTTGTAATGGCATATAATAAACATGTAGGCATCTACATTAGAATTCTCATTCTTACTACTTACAATTCTAATTTCCAATTTTTAAAATCAACAATGAAATTCAATGTATGTTAATTTTGGAGTAAGCACCTCTGAATATAGTACAGTTTACTTGGCCTATACAGCAATCTATATTTGAAGGAGATAAGATGATTCAGAAAGGGTATGCATGCTGCATCTGTCTGAAACTCCTTAATTCATCCTATCTATTTTTCTTTCATTGCATGTCAGTCACAGAAAATATGCAGCTTTGTTTGAAGAATTGCCTACAGATGCAAGATGAACATTCAAAACAACATGTTTGTTTTTTAATCTGAATCAATATGCAAATAAATCAGCTGTATATGGTTTATTGCTGCATCGGTCGCTCTTCAGACAAAAAGTATTCATGAATGATTTTAAACAATTCATTAATATTTTCTCTTATGTGTCCAATGATTTTATGCACAAATTTTAAATTTGAGCTTTTGGGGAATTTGTTGGGGCACTTTGAATGGAAATGCCTAAGCTAACATAAACTTGTAAAATGAATATATTTTCAAACCAGAGCTTTCAAATCAGCATCTCCCCACTCCACCCCAAACTAAGTTATCTACTGCATACCTGGGTACATGAGCAGACATGTATGGTACTAGGGCTACCCTCTTCCCCTGTAGTACAGTGTTTTGATTAATCTTCATAGTCTGAATTCTGAAATAACAATAAGTGAGAAATAAAATCTGACAAAGCAGAGATAGTATTAAAATTAACTCAAGACATTTACTGAACATTTTATTTTATTTGTACAGGTATTACAGTATGCTTAATTAAAAATATATGAAATACAAAGCTATATGTACCTATATGTGAGTCATGAGACAAAAGTATATTATAATAGCCTGTGTAATAGGTTATATAGTTCTGTATTCTCTATGGCTGTTACAAAAAGCAATTTACAATATTTCATTCCCATTTTGATTTTTTCAATTATTTTTAACTTTTAAAAATCCAGTTATCTTAAACAAAATAAAGATCTAGAACTCTCAACCAGTATCTGGATAGGGCATTGTACACAGTATTCTTTGGAAAACAGTTCTAAAACTTATACCTGGATATAAAACATAAAAGAATGAATGTATCACTGGATGTCAGTCATGGAATATGGAATTTTCTGGCCCAAAAATCTTTCAAGTGCCACATATTTCCATCCTTGTTTTAGATTTTTTTTGTCTTTGTGTGTGTGCATTTAGGGATTTTCCCCCTTATTTAACTCAGAAAGCTAAAAATCAAGTTGATATTTTCTTCTTCCCCACCATATACACTAGTGGTTGATAAACAGGTCAGGCTGTTTTTAAAGCCTCAATAGGTTTGTCCTCTGATAAGCCAAGATCATAATCCTTTTTGGACTCTTTATGGGATGTCAAAAGATACAGATATAACAAAAGTTTTGTTTTTTTAAAGCTATCACACTTTTTCTTATAAAACAAATATCTACATCCTTACAGATAGCATATTGACTAAATGAGAGGGACAATAGTATAGATTATTGGTATTTTCTAGGATGGAAAATGACCACTGCTTACGTAGTACTGATGAGTCAGAGTTAAATCGATAATGGGAAGAGTATGAAGATAATGTGGAGAACAACTGGAAGGCTGGGGGTTTGTTAAAGTCCACTATGAAGGGTTTTAGATCTAGAAAAAAAATAGGTCAGAAGGAAAAAAAAAGACCAAGCTAATTCTAAGCTTAGATTTGTATAGCACTTTTTAGCTGCTGGTTAAATAAGCTCCTCCAGTTTCTGATTTTGAATGTTGAAGAAGCAATATAGGAAGATTATTGAAACTTTTGAGCCATTAGCGTTGGACAATATTTCTGAGAACACTATGAGCAGCCAAGTAAACAAATCAATGGATCATCAAACAAATCAACCCGGACTTCTCACTCGAGGCACAAATGATTATTTGCCACCAAATCATTTTTGACTCCTAGTGACCACATAATTTTTCCATGACGATCCCTCACCTGTTCTTTAAAGTTTCCCAATGCTGCACTCATTGCTACTGTAATGCTGGTCACTCTCTTCTTTTCCCTACCTTTCCCCAGCATTAGAGCTTTTTCCAAATTTCTGGGTCTTTACATATGTCTGCAGTAAGATAATTTGAGCCTTGTCATTTGCACCTCAGATAATTATTTGCTCAATGATCCATTGTTTAATTTTCATGATTGCCCACAGTATTCTCAGGAGTATTGTCTCTCCACCAAAGTTCAAAGGCATCACTACTCTTCCTAACCAGCTTCTTCAAAGTCCAATTTTTGCTTTCAGGTAGTGTCACAGGGAATGCCATGGCTTGCACTATTCTGATTTTGTAAGGTATAGATGTATCACACCTCAAATTATCCAACACATCCTCATGGAGAAAATCTTGTCTATGTGTTTGATGTTTCAATCAGAATAGAGCTGGAAGGGATCTTGGAGGTCTTCTAGTCCAACCCCCTACTCAAGCAGGAGACCCTATACTATTTCAGATACGCTTGCTTGGCTTGATGGTACATAATCAATCAATCAATCAATCAATCAATCAATCAATCAATCATGAGTCACAAACTGGCCAACTGTATGTTAGACTTGCGTGCTGCCGACCTATCTTTCACTGTTTAAGTCATAGAGAAAGATAGCGCCCCACTGAGTTTTGAGGATCGTTCCCTTCCTAAGTGTACTTCGAGCTGGGTCTTTAATATCTCTGTTCCTGAAGGAAGGAAAGCAAAAGCCAACAAAGCTCACGAAAGGATACGAAGCCCACCCACTCCGTCGCCCACGCCAGCCCCGTCTGCCGCAACACTGAAAGGCAACAGGTGACAAGCGCGCATTTCCCGCGATCTCTCAATTCCTCGATCTCCACGCTTGCGCAGTTGTAAGGCCCTCCCTCCCTTAACTGAACACTACGGTAGCCGTTGAGCCTCAATCCGCCTCGCGATCTCCTGCTCGAGAAGCTGCCCGATTGACGTAGGAAGCGGCTCGAACAGCTGTAGTCCGGGTTGTTGCTTTCCGTAGTAGTCGAAGTGGCCCCTTTTAGCCGGGGGTGCGCATGCGCTGTCCGTGCCTTCACTTCCCTGGGTATAGCATGAAGGGAGCCGGCTTGGAGTTGCGGCTGCAGCCTCTGCCTTGGGTTTCTCTGGGCTTGCGGTTGTTCCTGGTAAAGGTTTTTAGAGATAAGGAAGGAGGTTTCGTGGTGGTTTGCGGGATGGGAGGCATGGCGGCATGGCGAAGCCGCAGCCCTGGGAGGCAGAATGGGAAGAGGAAGCCGCGGCTGGGCGAGCCTCAGGGACGTGGCATTCCCGGAGCAGCGCTGGCAGAGGTTTTATTTGGCTTTCTAACGGCAGGGAATGCAGCTCTGAAGTGCTTTTCGAAAGAGCCCGTGTAGAGGATGACTAAAGTCCCGTGAAATTCGCTTTGGGCGTTGCTAACGGGAGGGGAGGCGACTTCGTGTTAGGACGGTCGTCAGCATCGTTTCAGGGGCAGACACGCGTGTGCATGTGGTTACAGTTCAAATTGCCCCAGGTTGAAAGGCGTGCTGATCGTAAGCCTCCGAAGGATGTAATCTAGGAAATGTGTGCAATGCTGTATAATAAGCAAACAATAAGTAAGGAGACTAAGGTGCTGGTTAATCACATCTTTATGCAGTATTGCCTTTCCCAAATCCATATTCTGAATAACAGTCCTAAAATTAGAATTAATTGATAAATTTAATTGTATATAATTATGGTTTTAGGGAGTACACGGTGAAGTGAAAAAAATATTGGAGTCTGTATTTACGGTCCTGGATTCAAGATAAATTCATTACTGATTTATGAACTGGCTCTATGTTAATGTTATAGAAAGATCGTCCAGTTTTATTCCATAGGATCAAGAGGTAATGTGTTTAAAATAGGAGCTGATGTTCTATGTGTACCATACAGGTAATCCTTCATTTAACAACAGTTCATTTACTGACTGTTCAAGTTACAGTGGCACTGAAAAAAGTGACTTATGACTATTTTTCACACTTATGACTGTTGCAGCATCCCCCATGGTCACATGATCAAAATTCAGATGCTTGGCAACTGACTCATATTTATGATAGTCACAGTGTCCTGGGGTCATGTGATCACCTTTTGCAATCTTCTGACAAGCAAAGTCAATGGGAAAGCCAGATTCACTTAACAATTGTTAAGTGAGCTACTGCAAAGGATCACTTAACAACTATAGCAAGAAAGATCATAAAATGGAGCAAAATTCATTTAAGAACTGTCTCACTTAGCAACAGAAATTTTGGGCTCAATTGTGGTCATAAGTTGACTACCTTGTACTTTTTATTCATTGTGTATGTGTGTTGTTGAAGAATTTTTTTAAAAAGACAAGTGCTTAATTAAAATTACTATGCAGTCTCACGTGGGAGTCAGGTGATCTGTCCCCACCATACTTTTTAAAAGCTGATTTTTGGGTGCTGTAGAAAGCCTGTATGGGATGGAGGATGTCAGTAGAGAAGAGGTAAATGAATATTTTGTCTTTTAAAGATAAAACCTATTGCAGATGCAAGACATCTGCTTAGTGAAAAGGGTTATCCTTTTACTTTACTGTAAAGTTCAGAGATGTTGATAAAAAGTGGATTATTTTGGGGAACACTCTTCATGTAATATTTTTGTTGATAGAAGAAAAATACCTGCAATTTGAGGAAGATTTTCTAAAAAATGAAGTACACCAAAAGAAAGTATTGATGTTTATCATGAACACTGTATTTAAATTGGAGTCAGCTTGTTCATGAGTTGTGTATACAAATGAAGAGTTAAGACTCTGCTTTGTGAAAAATATCACTAGCAGTCATAGGCCATTCCCATTTCCACCAAGATTTCTAGATTTTGCCCAATAATTGGTTTGGTTTGGTTTAGTACTTATATGGAAAAATAGATTAGATTGCAAAGTTGAAGAGACATTTTGGAAGAATCTGATGGCAAAACACTTTGTATTATTCTAGGAAAACAACATGGACTTGACCAAATGAAAAATAAAAAGCATCCTGGTACTAGCTGATGCCACACAAAACTCATTCATCTGTATCAAATTGCATCATAATAAACCGGTAGCTTATATCAAGTGTTTTACATAGAGTCATAAGTGGTAGAAAGAAGCTCAGAGGTCATCTAGTCCAGCCTCTGTTCCATGCAGAATCTTGTCAGCCTAATTTCCTGATTGGAAATTGATTAAGTAAGAATCTACTAGCAAGTGTGCTTTCAAGAGAAAGTCTTTCCTCCCTGTTACTTTTCTGGGTGCGGATATAAATTCTGCTCTCTCTTCTTATTAGCTTTAAAGGTAGCTCTTTAAACCCGTAGGAGGGATTTTCTTGTTGCTGAGTAGTTAAAAAAAACAAAAGTCATCCAGAGGAGAGTTCAAACAAGGCTTTACTTCCTAATAGCCTAAGTCTTCATTCACTCTTCCTGACTTATTTCCTGACTGACAAAAGCTCCCTTTCAAGCTGCTATACCTTGGGGTTGTCCTCAACCCTAAGAAACATTGAGAGTAAGAACAGCATTTTTATTGCCTGGCACAAGAAATGTCATTGTTCTCCATGCAGTGAGGCTAAGATGAGAACATCAGTGTGTTCAGAATAAGATGGTCAGGGAATCTATTTTATTGTGTTTGTCTATTGAAGTATACACTGAATCAGAACTTGAACATAAACTCCTAATGCCATTCTGTCTCTACACCTATCTTTTCTAATCCAAAATGATAGCCTTACTTATTTAGTTCATGACTGAGGTAGGTTGAAAGGGTATTGGAAAGGCAATACATTTTTTCCCCAAGAGCTAAAGTAACATGTAAGCCTATTGAATAGAGGTGGGAAATAATCCCTGTTGGTTATTAAAGCTTAAGGAATCATATAGCAGTACTTTAGCATTAATATCATTGCAAAGAAAGAAAAATAGGATAAAAACAGAATTAGATAGCTAGTGCTGTCATTGGCCAACTTTCCTCTGACTGCCACTCCTGGTCCTCCCCGCAATGAATACAGTATTCATTACTTCTCATTTATCCTTACAGTACCTGTAGTTGCAGTATTGATTGTTGCAATCTCTCCACCATTGATAAACGTGTTTTAATAATGATGAAAGATCAATTCGAATGAGAACGGTAATGGGATTCTAGTACCTTTAATGATGTTAAGCAATCTTTGCTACAAGTTGGAAAATATTTATAATGGATTTTGGAATGATTCAATATTTCTTAGGCTCCACTTCAAAACGAGAATATTGGCAAAAGAGATTTTCATTATGAAATATGTAAAACTGACAATTAGGAATAAATAATACATTTTTAAAAACAAAATCTGATTATATCCCATATAAGTTGTGTCTATTTGGTAGGATGGTCTGTTAACAAAAAAAAGTTGGATTACTTTCAGTTTGATTTCTGAGACATTTTGGAGGTTTTTAAATGTGCATTTGAGCAAAACACTTTTCTGACGAGGGAAACAGTACTTTGCATTAAGGTCTTTGGGATGTATTAATCTTTTGTCTTTGGTCAGAAATACTGAGAGTTAATCTGTTGAATCTTGCAACAGTCCAATTAAGGAGTTATAGCTAGATATTGTAAAGTCACATTTGTGCTTTTTTGGATTATAGAAAGACGGGATATAAATCCAGTAAATACACTTTATTCTGTAGAAAATGTTTTGTCCAACAGGTTTCTTGCAGCTTTCTGCTTGATTGACTGACTTTATTTGCAACTGATATACTGTATTCTCTTTACTTCATTGAATTTTCTATTATGAAGTAATTATATATATTACTATGATCTCATACTTAGCTTCCCCTTGAAATAATGTAAGTGTTGCCCTATGGTATAGAACCAATTAGGAACTAACAAGGGCAAGAGTGCCTTTTACTTGCAGCTATCCAATTTCAAGCAGAGAAAATCTTAGAGTTGTTTAATAAAGCAATGGCATGGAAATTAGTGATATTTGGATTGGTTAAACTCTAGATGGTTAATTTGAAGTCTCTGATACTATTTTTAATTCAGTAAAATGTGTTACGTAGTAGATTCAGTTCTTAATAATTGTAAGTAACTTTGTAAAAAAGTTAACTATTTGTGTTTTTCAGGTTAATAGTGACTGGAACAAATACAACTGACAACATATCTTGTCTCAAGCCCTTAAATTCTTTTCAGCATGGCTGGAAGCATTACTGATACAGGGGAACTCTACTCTCCTTATGTAAGTGTGTAGCATTGGTATAGCCACTTAATGTATGTTTATGTTTAGTCCAGTATTAGCATGCAAAATTGTAATTTTATATGGGGTAATTTATTGTGCTTGTTTTTTTCTTTTCTCCAAATTATGGAACACATTACAGCTAATTTCTAAATTGGGTTTTGATACTGAATATTGTTTTGATCATTTCGCACCTCATTGTATTTGACCTAGCAAAGGATTTGAAAATAGTAAATGATTACCGTATATCTACATTTCATATAAATTCAAATTTAAAGAAAGCATTAGTGTATAGTGCCTTTTTAATAAATTTTTGAGTGCCAAAGGGTACAGAAACAAATTTATAAATAAACAAGTAGATATTCTTTGCAGAATTCAGGCAACACGTTTTTAAAAGAAATTTAACAATGCTTCCTGCTGACATAATAACATGCTTCCTGCTTTCATAATAACAAAAATGTAATGAAAAGCCTTAATTACAGGTAGTACTCAACTTACAACACTTTATTTAGTGACCATTCAAAGTTACAACAGCACTGAACAAAGTGACTTGTGACCATTTTTCACACTTATGACTATTGCAGCATCCCCATGGTCATGTGATTTACAGTTGGATGCTTGACATCTGGTTCCTATTTATGATGATTGCAGTGTTCCGGAATCATGTGATCACCTTTTGCGACCTTCTGACAAGCAAAGTCAATGGGGAAGCCAGATTCACTTAACAACCGTGTTACTAATTTAACAACTGCAGTGATTCACATAACAAATGTGGCAAGAAAAGTTGTAAAATGAGGCAAAACTCACTTAACAAATTTCTCACTTAGAAACCTAAATTCTGGGCTCATTTGTGCTTGTAAGTCGAGGACTACCTGTATTAAAATTGTTTGTTTTAAGGGAATATTTTTTTCATGTTATTTTTCCATCGATATATTTTTGCTTAATATTGATGGTGGTGTCTCAGCTTTATTTAAGAGGCAGTAGGTATATAAGCTTGATAGAATTGTTTCATCTGTTTTTAAAGGTAAATTAAGCATTAATTTCAGAGTCCAGGTTAACACAATATTTGATAAAATATAATGTGTGCAACAAGAGATAAATTGAGATCATCTTTATGACTCATGATTTCCAAATTGAAAATACAGCAATGCTAAGCTTTTTAATTTTTTTTAATTCAGAAATGCGTCAGGGTCTTTAGGTGCAAAGGTACTCTTACATTATGTTCTATATAATGGGCATTTTATTGACCAATGAAAAATAAAAGAAAAGTGGAAAAGAAAGAAAAAAGATATAGAGAAGTGGGCTCCAAATCCAAAGAAAGAGAGAGAGAGAGAGAAAAGAAAAAAGACAAAAAGGCAAAAACGAAAAAAAAAAAAACTAAACTAAAAAATGTGCATAAAGACAAGGTAACAAAGATACACATAGATTGTCCTCCCAGTTGATTACTGATAAATATATTTCAACTTTAATAGTTTTTCCCCTCTTGCAAAACAGGTTCTCAATTTAGGAATTTCTAAATCTCTATTTACTAAATTACTGTATGGCATTAAAAATATTACAAATATGAAAATCTATTATTGATCAGCCAATTTGACCTATCAACTGTCTACTGTAAAAAAGCAGTTAACAGATAATCCCAACAAGCTAAAATTTCAAAGCCTCCTGTTAAATATCTGTTATTATAATTAACTCAGAAAGTCCACAAATGGCTTCTAATAAACCATAAACCCACTGCAATCATTATTTCTGATTCATCCAGGATCACATATCCTCAGTTGATTCTTAGTAATAAAACATTTCCTTGAACTATTTGGGATCAAATAATTGCATCTCACTCCCCAAGTCATAAGTATTAGTTGAGATTATCTCTGCAGCACTTGTGGTTCATAAATTTTCCCACAAATCAAAACACGGCATCTCCCAACAGTTGTCTTCTGGTTCCATATAATAAGCCTATTCCGCAAACTCCATCTGCTTTCAATTTAGCAATTAAAATGTAGGTTAAAACCAAAGGAAACTTCAAGACATGAGGTTAAAACAGGCATGCCTAAAAAAACCAAACAGTGACAGGAAAAGATGGAGACCCAACCCTCCAGCTGCTCTTACCGAGAATCGCAATCCACTGGATTCTTTTCCCAGGAATCCCATATATTGTAGTACAAGAAATAAATATATTTTGACAGTGAAGATGGAGTTCTATAGAGAGAGCTGCTTTATGTACAGAATTTCTAATAAAGCAGTTGAAGGCAATAACGATATTTTCTTTTATTTTCCCCTTCTTTTCCCCCTTTTTGTGTTTCCTACAGTTCTGATAAGTACAGTAAATTTTATAGGATTTGTTTTTTTTCCTGCCATTATCTTGTACTTTTAGGAAGTGTTCTATGTTTAGTTATACTATATGAATTTCTTGCTCAGAATTGGCTTTCTGCCAAACTAGTTCTCTTCATACTAAACACACTGTGCTTTTGTGCACAATGGCTCCCAAAACCAGCACTATCCGGGTACGTAGCCTACTTGAGAATTTATTGATCTATTTCGAATCTAAATAGGAATGCTTCCTTATAATTTGCAAAAGAGTTTTTATAAGAGTGTAACAAAATTGAATAACCAAGCATTCTTTGCCATCCTGTCAATTGTCTCCCAGCATATGAACTGTACTTCAAGCTGTTAAACTCTATTTGGGAAATGCTGGTAGCGAAACAAATTTAAGGTTTTCACATATATAAGGAGGGGGAGAAAGGTGAAATAGGCTAGGAAGCTGCCTGGAAGGAAGTTGCTGAACTTGGAAAAAGGAGCTGAAGATGGTTGGCAAACCAAGTGGGATTTAAGCAGTTTTGGCTGCTGAAGAAATGTAGGTTCTAGAATAGATGGAAGAGGGCTCCCAGGTGAAAGAAGGTTACCAAAGATATAGGCAGACCAGGCTTCAAGAAATAAATCTACCTTGCACAGAAGTATGGAAAGAAAAGGTAGTGATAAGTAATATCAATGAAAAGTAATATATTGCTAGATAAATTTTATAGGAAGCCCTTGATTAATTTTAAGGAGATCTTTTTTTTATGTCTTGCAGGAAACATAAGAATTAATGCAAGTAGGAAGTTCTGGATAGGTAGGAACAGATGGTAGCAAGCCAGATTTAGATTGCTTTGTCCACGATGACCTTATTTAGTTCCACCCACTGCTCTACAGGCCCCATTAAGCACATCAGATGCATTTGGCAAAGTCATTGACTGAAACATTTCTTTGCAGGCTTATACTGTGCCAAATGAACCACCTGCATGAGTTAAGGGGGAAAAAAAAACCCCTTCGTATCATAAAACAGTATTATTACTGGAACAGTTAATATGGACTAGCAAAGATTATTTTCATTGGCTATTAGACTTCTGAAATCACATAGTCATAATACCTAAGTGAATTGCACATATGGAGATTGCTACTATATTTGCCCAAAGATGGAACTAATTTAATTAGTTTCTATTAAATGTTTCTATTCTCTCATTGCAGGTTGGCCTGATTTACATGTTCAACCTCATAGTTGGCACAGGAGCTTTAACTATGCCAAAGGCCTTTGCTACTGCTGGTTGGCTTGTCAGCCTTATTCTAATAATGTTCTTGGGATTTATGAGGTAAGATTTTGCTACATGTTACTTCTGTTAATTTGGCTAAAACAAGAGGTGTGTGGAGATATACCTGGGATTAGCTGCAGCTCGTTGGACACCAACTTTCTTTGTTGCATATTTTCAGTATGGCTACCAACTAGTATGTTCAATATCATACTGCTTTAACTCTGTAAATCAAATTCAGCAGCATCTTTGGACATCTTTAAAACTAAGGTTAAAACTAAGGTTAAAAAAGTAGAGCTGGTAAAAGACCTGAGCAACAGTGGCATGATCCACACAATGGAATTGGGAATCATAGTGAAAGAAATAAGAAACTGTCTTTTGATAACAAACCAGCTGTGTGACCTACTTTTGCTGCCAATAGACTGAATTCTTGTTTTAATTGATTTTTGGCAAATTGAAATAGCACAGTAAATACACACTTATTTTAAGTATAATGATATATGATTTTTTTTTTAAAAAATCATCTGTCAAGCTTTATTCTTAGCAATTACATTGATACATCTATGCTCTTTGTTATTGCTGCCTTTTTTTAAAAAAAAAAACAGTTTAATTTATATCTTTGAAATTTCCTGGTGTTCTCCTGTCCAGGTACTACAAGATTTGACCTGGTTTTTTTTTTTTCAAGATCAGCCTAGGTCTACTAGTGTTTCACCTCCTGGAACTATATGAAAATATAATTGCCTTGAAAATTATATGTCATTCCTAAATTTTATGAACGACAGTTTTTTAACAAATGTATCCTAGTCTTAAAGCCATTTTTTCTATACTTTTACGTAGTTAGGTGCTTCTAATGCTTTACAGCACGGGTGTCAAACTCGCCACACCACATGACGTGTCGCGACATATTGCGACTCTTTTTGCATTGCCAGCAATAGGGTGGGTGCGGCTTCAGTATGATGAAACCGGCCCGCGGGCCGGCTGTTTGACACCCCTGCTTTCCAATGTTGTTTACTTAGCTGCTATTATTAAAGTTAATGGAAGCTGAATGTCTTCAGTTTGTTAGACAACTAACACATGAAGATAGCTTTAGGATTTCTTGGTGAATTGAACTGTTATATACTGAATATCATAGAAGAAGTGTTCTCTGAATAGTCTGATACATGCAGAAAATGCTGTTTTACACGTGGTATATTCAATAATCATTGTTTCAATGAAAATTTGCTGAAATCAGATTCTCTTTTTAAAATTATGCTTCATAGGTTAATTAAGATAACTAAAGATCCATGTCTATTCTTGCCTATTGCATATACTGAAATATTTAGTACATTTCATCTGAGCCCTGGTGGCACAGTAGTTAGGATGCAGTATTACCGGCAAACTCTGTCCACAGTATGGAGTTCTATCCTGACGAGCTCGAGGTTGACTCAGTCTTCCATCCTTCCGAGATTGGTAAAATGAGGACCCAGATTGTTGGGGGCAATAGGCCGACATTGCAAATCACTCAGAGAGGGCTGTAAAGCATAAGGAGCGGTATATAAGTCTTAAGTGCTATTGCTATTTAAAAAGCATGGAGGTTAAAGATCTCACTGTGAAAACTAAATGCACTGAAAATGCATTACTTAAAAGTATGTATGGTAAAACAAGAAAACATTGAGTCTTAATGGAAAGAAGAGACAAAGTCAAGAATGTTTAGTGATGCCTGAATGTAGAAAAATGACTGCTCAATACAAACAAACTCCATTCAGATGGTTTAGTTCCATAGAGAGAATGAATGAGAATTTAATCATGAAACCAAAACATGAAGGAAAAGTGAATGTGTGAGGAGGAAAGGGAGTTGTAATTGGATGAGATCTTGAAAAAAGAGAAGTTTACAGTACAAAAGGCATTACATCAGGCCATGCAGGGAACTGGTAGAAGCAAAAGTGGCTTGCAAGAATGAAAAAGATAGTGAATAGTGTTGGTATGAATGAGATCTAGTTAGATTTTTGTTCTCTCGTGTCTTTTACTTCTTGTGCTTACTACTTTTTCCATGCCTTGTATAAGGGTAGATATATTTCTAATCCATTATTAAATAAAGCATTTATTAGTTGATATCCATATTTATATTTAGGATTTTATTAAGTGTTTTGTTGCTGTGCAAATCCACTGCCTTTGTGTTTTTGTTTCCCAAAAGGTGGATTAGTCCAGTGGCTAATACAGTTTTGGCACTGCTGTCTTTTATATTGTGATGATCAGGCTTCCCATAATAATCTTGGCTTTGAACTAGATACTGAAAAGGATTATTAAAGGAATTGTCATTTAGTACATTCTTCCCTATTTTTAATGGATGCAAACTTAACAATTTGTTTGATGATTAAATAATGAAGCAGGTTGAATATAGATGGCAATAGAATAATGAATCTGCATAACATAGGCCTTTTGTAGATCTGCAAAGTGGACTAGCAGAGTGAAGAAAGGAGAATTAATAAATGTAAATACAGCACATGCATATATATACATGATTGCCTTTGCAGTTATATTTGCTTTTCAGAAAGTCTGTAAAACATTTTCTCCTATATTTTTCTCTCAATTTTAATGTCCCCTGGATTGCTTTTTGAGTATAGTCCTTTAATTTTTTGCTGATATTTTAAAATTTAATTTTCTTTGCTGTATGCTACTTTAAACATCCATGGATAAAAGCCATATTAACATTAAATAAGAAAAGGTTTTATGTATTGGTAAACTGGGTAATGTTATTTTAAACAATCTAACAATCTGCCATTTAGTTTAGATATAAGCGTCAATTGAATTTAGCTGCTGGATAGATTTTTCATTTGAAAGTATTATGCAACATTTTTCCAGATATACAAGACATGATGGCTATATTTTTTTCCCCATCAGAGAAACAGTTTAGAGGCATTTTAGGTAAAACCCTCAACAATCACTAATGAAATAATGTAGTTTTGATTTTGAACAAATAGAGTTTTGAGTGGTATGCAAGAATGCTACAGAGGTAGGCACTGATGTGTAATTTTTGATTCACTGTAAATGCTACTACAAAGAAAGGATTTTTAAAGACAGGAAAAATAAATAATTATATTCTGCTATTATATTCTGCTAATGTAGTAGCTAGAAAACCAAAATCATGGCATCCGGCCCTCTCAATTCCTGGCAAATAGATGGGGAAGAAATGGAGGTAGTGACAGATTTTATTTTCCTGGGCTCCAAGATCACCGCAGATGGGGACTGCAGACAAGAAATTAAAAGACACTTGCTCCTGGGGAGGAAAGCTATGGCAAATCTATATTCTAAAAAGCAGAGACATCACCCTGCCAACAAAAGTGTGTATAGTCAAGGCCATGGTTTTTCCAGTTGCAATGTATGGATGCGAAAGTTGGACCATAAGAAAAGCTGAGCGCAAAAGAATTGAGGCCTTTGAACTATGGTGCAGGAGAAGACTTCTGCGAGTCCCTTGGACTGCAAGGCGTTCAAACTGGTCAGTACTAGAAGAGATCAACCCCGACTGCTCTTTAGAAGGCCAGATCCTGAAGTTGAAACTCAAATACTTTGGCCACCTAATGAGAAGGAAGGACTCACTGGAGAAGGGCCTAATGCTGGGAAAGATTGAGGGCAACAGAAGAAGGGTACGACAGAGAATGAGGTGGCTGGATGGAGTCACTGAAGCAGTAGGCGTGAGCTTAAATGGACTCCAGAAGATGGTAGAGGAAAGGAAGGCCTGGAGGGATGTTATCCATGGAGTCGCGATGAGTCGGACACGACTTCGCAATTAACAACAACAACAATGTAGTAGCTAGTAGCCTACACAGGTTGAAATTCCTTTGGCTAATCTCCTGCCTCTAGATCATGGTTGTACAACCTTTTGGTTTGCATTGAGTGAAGAGGAATTGTATTGGACCACATATAAAATATATAATATAGTTAATGTACATAAATAATAACTTTCCTTTATTTTTCAATGTTTTTATTACCTTGTGGGGCTGCATTATTAGCTGCCCAGGGCCTGGCCATCTCTAGATGATATAGTTCTTCCCCCAACCCCCACCAGTAATGCCCCCTTGAGCAGAGTAGGGAGGCAAAGATTTCATGTTGGGCAAAATAAAAATATATATATTTCACTTCTCTCCTGAATGTTTGCATTAAATATAGAGATTTCATGGTAATGGATCAGTTTTATACTTCTGAATGAGCTTTAAAAATGCACAGAACATGCAAGAATTTGTTCTCTACTGTACCCCCCAAAAATAGATGCAAATAAAAAAAATGACAGTCCCCCTCTTAAATGCTTTCCATACACTGTGGTCATTAATGGTCAGTTTAAATTTGTGGACTTGTTAGATCAAAGGTGTCAAACCCGCAATGTCACATGATGTGCTGCGATGTATCGTAACTTTTTTGCCATTGCCGGCAATGGGGTAAGCGTGGTTTTGCTATGATGCATCCAGCCTGCGGGCCGGCAGTTTGACACCCCCTGTGTTAGATGAATGCAACTAATTATTTACAATTTATGCCTACATTTAATTGTTCTACTGTGAGCATTATTACCTTCCATTGTAATAGTATTTCTTTAAATTGATTTTCAGGTATCTTTTCTCCCTCAGTTGAGACTGAGTTGTTTGCAAATTAATGTTATAAATTATTACTGAAGGCATTGAAAAAGTTATGGTTTCTTTGGATGGAAAGCATAAATCTTAATAGATTGCTTCTGAGCTTTGTAAGAAAGATTATTTTAAAAACGTACAGCTTATCTATAATTTCCTACCTTGTGCTTTGATTTTTCTTCCTGTTCATTTCTTTATATTGATAGGCTCTGTTCCAATTTGTAATTATTTGTAGTATTTCTATTATATTGTCCTTGAAATTTTTCTTACTGCTGTCAAGTTGGAAATGTTTCCTGCAATATTACCGTGATACACTCATTTCTCTATAAGCACTTCTGAATCTGTGATATCCCTGAAGTATGTTTGGTATAGTAAGAAGCCTTTAGGGGGAATCATTATCTAGACCCCAGGGAATAGTTACTTACTATATATTAATCTTAGCAGAACTGATTTCTCACTCAATTTTTGTAAATTAATTCAAATTGTAAAGCAGCAAAATATTATTCTTGAGGTTTATATTATTCTATCCTTTGCTCATTTTTGCTAAAAATAAGCAAAATAGCTAAAGTGGATCGAAGCTCAACAAATCAAATTGTAATATTCATCTTTTATTGAAGAATCGCTTACTCCCAGCTATTGTCTTAGTAGATCTTAAAAAGTATTTTCAATCTTTAATATATAGCATTGAACCACTGACCTATTTCATATACTATCCTATCTTTAAATTCAGGTTTATAGTTCTTTGAAATGTTGGAGTAAAATCTGTCACAAATTCATTCTACATATAATGTTGCATTTTCCATATGTGTCTTTCCATCCAGTGCTACAATATTTTGGTCAGGTTAATTCTGTTAAGCCTTACCATTTGACTCCTACCATTGAAGCTGGCTGGAAGAAAAACAAAGTATCAAGGGAAACTAAGAATTGGTAGACAAACTAACTTGAGTTCTCCAAATCTCCACTGATACTAAGTGTAAAAATTAAAATCTCACCTCTGCTCTATACAAAGCATGTTTGGCTGCCCGCATTATATCTAACTTTGCTTTCTATAGTCAGCATTGCCTGAAAACTCCTCAGAACAGAGCTTTTAAATGAATGTGTTCATATAAATGGGATACTGTGATTCGTTTTTGTTTTAAATAACTTGATATCTTCTAATTCTCTTATAGCTACATGACCACAACTTTTGTAATGGAGGCCATGGCTGCAGCAAATGCTCAGCTTCATTTAAAGAGAATGGAAAAGCACAAGGTTTGTGTGGCATGTCTTAATCTGATATCACTTCAATCATACTGTTACATGGTAGGAAAGTAATATAGTAGGAAAATTTTAATATTGCTCTTGTGTCTGCCCTTAAAATACAACAATAAGTTCCCTATCATTCTGAACTTTTGTTGAAAACAGCATTTCTCTCTCTCGCTACATTGGACATTCAGTAGGAACTGAAATTCTAAGCATTTTAAAGACCCACAGCTAAAGAGTTTTGCTTTTTTCAGCTAGTAAATGCATTTTTCATTTAGTGCTTAATTTTCTTTTACTTGTCAAAATTCCACAATAATTCTTCATTTTTGTAGATCTAGATTAATGTCTTTCTCTTTTAGGAAGATAATAATGATGAAGATTCTTCATCTGAAGTTTCTGATAGTGAAGTTCACCCAGATGTTTATGAACGATCAGAAACACGGCCAATTCTATCTGTGCGTAAGTAGCTGATTCTACTTTCATCTTGATAATATACAAGAATCAGTCTTTCTCTACAGTTCTTTGTTAATGCCAAAGACAAGTGAAAAAAGATCCTTATCCTTTATTTGACCTTTCTGTAAATAAGACAAGTGCGTCGTGAAATCAAAATTAGGAATACTTTGCAAACCATATTTAATAGAAAAAATAATTTATCAAAGTAGAAAGCTTGTTCTTTTGCAGATGACCAAAATGCATATTTAAAAATTATTTTTGTTATTCCAGGCCACATTGTATGCAACAATGATCTGATATACATATTTTGTCCTTCTTTGCAATATTGGATACACAGTTGGATAACTCAGAGCAGAGAACATTCCTATCCTCACTTAGGCTTTAGTAATATACTCCAGATCTCCCTACTTGTCCATCACTAAATAATGAATGAAAGTGGTCTTATTGCAGAAGATTAATCCACAACATTGTGAGGCCCTGTTCCCTGTTAATCTGATTACCAAATCCTTCAAAAGCGCTAGATCAGTTGGAACAGAAGATTACATCAAGATTGGCAATCTCTCTTCCCCTGAGTGGCTAGCTTGGCTCTCCCTGGTTTTAGTTTTTCTTTTATTGATACTACTGCTGTATAAGTGACCCAGATAAATTTATTCTAATAATGATATATGTATTAGAAAATAACTGCTCTGTTGCATCAGTATCAATGATTCGTCAGCTCACTATTTGAAATCAGGATAGGAACTTTCTACTCCGTTTTTTTTTATCAAGCTTAGGTACAGTATCATATTTAGTAGGCTCCCAACTTTATCATATTCTACTTTAAATTTGGTGGGCTTATTTATAGCTCATTTTATGTAATTGCAGTGTATAACAGCAATCAGAAACATACAACATCATCTTTTTATTAGAATAAAATCATCGTTCAAATTGTTTAGAAGCCAATTTCTTTGGTCTGTGTGTGTGACTTATCCTCTTGACTTCAATTACTGCTCCAGCTTGGACTGAAGATTTTACAACCACTTAAACTGCTTTTTACTGTTGCTGCAGTACTTGCTATCAATACATAAAACCATCAGACAAAACTATAAAACCACTTATTCCTTTTAATTTTTGTTTTTTCTTTATTATCCTCCATCAATATTTAGTAACTTTGATGAAAACCCATTAGTCTTAACATCTGTTTGAATTTATTCTTACTCTTGCAGCATCTACAGTATAGGATTATTTTAAATTGCGTAGAACAAATAGTGCATTTTTCCTATTTTATTTTGTTTGGGGCATTTTGTTTGAGTGGTGCTTGATTTTCTTCTTTTCCCTTTCTCTTGCCTTTGTTACATGTCATCATCAGATTCCAAGTAAACAGGGATTTGCCAAAAGCTGGATCTATTCCTTGTATAGTACAAAGCCTCTGCAAGCAATCGGAGCTAGGAATTTAAATCTTTTCAGGCTCTCATATCAAACAAGCTCATTGTTGAATTACTTTTGCTTTGTATCAATATTATAATCTTCCATATTCTCCAGATTATAATCTTCCAAGCTCCCCATGACAGCCCCTTTCCAACTAGCATATTTGCTTGAGACATTTATAGAATAATTTTCAGTCTTGGTACAAAACAGTTGAAGCAGCATCTGCGCTACGTTGCTTTCTTTCCTTCTCAAAAGTTACAGCGTTTAACTGTTAGTAAACTCTAGTTTCCTTCTTCCCTCATGTCCTGAATTAATATCATATCAACAGGAAAGAAAATATTGTTGCTAAATAAACTTTACTGAATATCTGCTTTTGAACTATTTGTGAAAACAAGTGTTTCACATTTCATTCCAAAAATTCCACCTGCTTTGATAAATTCAAGATACGGTTCTGTACTGTGCATTACAGTATAACAATAGGACTGGTTTCTTTATACTAAATGGAAAGTGTAAGATAAGCAGTTTCAATTTTAAGCTTGCATTTTAGCAATAGTGGAAAAAAATCTCATGTGTAAGTTTCTCCATAAGACTGCTGTGGACTGATCTTGTTGAATATTATAAGAACTATGTAGAAATAGTGGATTATTTCTACAGTGTAGTCCTCCTAATGGTTTATGTCATCCTGAAATTATTTATTGTGCTTCACATCTGTGTCATGTTGTTTGTCAAATTTTTCAAACTGATTATTGTGGATTATGAAATATTAATGTTTTGAACTAGAACATCAAAACTCTGTCTGAGCTCCAAAACATTCTACTCCATGTTTTGCACGTTTACCTTTATAAATCAAAAAAATCTAAAATTTGTAAATCATGGGGGGAAAGTCTTTAAAATGGTGAATATATCTTCCCCTCCCCTGTTACTTACTCTTTTGGATCATCAACCAAATCTTTCAGCCATTCTTCTGTTTAAGCAGCTGTTCTCCTTTAGAGAAGAAAGAAGGAAATACTTTTTTTTTGGTTAATTCTGGTCCATAATTAATCAAATACATTTCTCAGTAGTACAACCAAAGGAATAATTTAAAGAATGAAAAACAAGAGGAGATTGAACAATTTAACTATAAAACAGTTTAAAATGAGTTTAAAAATATGCATCTATTGTAATGTTTCTTTTTATTACAAGTATATTGGTACTTCATAAACAACATACCGGTAGTCCTTGACATATAACCACAATTGGGATCAGAATTTCCATTGTTAAGCAAGGCAGATGTTAAGTGAGTGATGCCCAATTTTAAGACCTTTTTAGCTACAGTTGTTAAGTGAATCATTGCAGTTGATAAGGGAATCACGTGGTTGTTAAGCGAACTCAGCTTCTCCCATTAACTTTGCTTGTTGGAAGCTGGCTGGTAGAATCACAGATGGTGGTCATGTGACCCCAGGACACGGCAGCCATTGTAAATACATGCTGGTTGCCAGGTGGCTGGATTTTGATCAGATGACTGTGGGGAGGCTGTGATGGTCATAAGTGTGAGGACTGGTCATAAGTCATTTTTTTCAGTGTCGTAACGTTTAATAGTTGCTAAACAAATGGTTGTAAATTGAAGACCACCTGTGAAGGAAATGGTTTACAATATGAATAGCTTGGACTTATAGGTCTAAAAAGTTCCTTCTAATTTTCAGAGAAACGAGGAGCACCTAATATTTTTGAAATCACAGAAAGGGTAGAAATGGGTCAGATGGCCTCCATGTTCTTCAATAAAGGTAACTATTTTTAAGCTATTAAGACCCTGTTTTACATTGGATATGTTTCGTTGGGTTTTTTTTTTTTAAAAAACAAACAAACTATTTGGTACATTTGCTAAAATATACTTAACGTTTTTATTTGTGGAATGTTTTCAAGTATGCACAAACTAGGAAACACCTACACATTAACACTGAAAATGGAGTTCTGCTAAATTATTGCCAAAAAGCTCTCAATTTCCCCCTACCCCCTTCTTCCCTCTTCCCTCTTCCCCCCTCAATTTACCCCGAGTATAAGTTTCATTAATGATGGCCTGGCTGAGAACATCTACATTAGGGGTCCCCAACCCCCGGTCTGTGGACCAGTACCGAGCCGTGGCATACCAGCAACCGGTCCACATAAACAAGCAAAGCCCCATCCGCAGGATGCAGGGAAAAACCTTTCTCCACAGAACCGATCCCTGGTGCCCAAAAGGTTGGGGACCTCTGATCTACATTATCCATACCTATGGCTGCTATGGAAGATAGATGACACTTATGTAAGTGATTGTTCCCAAGATCCGGGACAGCATAAGGCTATGTGTGGGATTAAAGGGTCTTTAGTCTCTTCTTCATTAAGTTTGTATTCATAGCAAAAGTTGAAGTATCATTCCAGTCAGTGTCATGCGAAGTGAGCTGGTAAGGGTTTGCCTAACTTTACCTTCCTTTGCACCAAAACTAACTATCTAGTAAGAAATAATAGTTAATGTAAGGAAGTTGTAAGCAATGAAGAGGAGTGAGATAAGGAGGGTGAATGGGATTCAAAACTACATTTTGTTTATGCTATTCGTATGCAGAAGTACCTTTATTCCACCATGTCTATATTTTTGCTTTCCTTTGAAGTAGGTTTACCTTTTCACCATTAGAACCTTTTCTTACTGTCTACCTTAGCACTGAATACATGTTTTCCTTGGGGATTTTTTTTTATCATGGGTGGGGCCAATTTTTTTTTATAGGGTGGCTAGAGGAATGTTTACATTGGAGAAATATAGCTCTGGAATAATATGGTAGCATTAATTCTCTATTTCTGCGATGAATAATTTTACACAGTAGAGGGTGCTCAGATCACATATGTGAATGCAAGTTAAGCATAGTTAATTTTTTTTTAACAAATGCTTTCTTTGGTTGACAGTTCAAACAAAATTTATTCTGCTCTTTTTCGCTTATTATAGGCAAGTTGTGATACTAGCTTTCTTTCCCAGAGGGAAAAGTTTTTTTTAAAAAAAAACTAATAATGAACAGTTATAGCAAAATAAAAGTGCCCCTTCAAAGATAAGGATGGCCCTAATTTGTGTCATATGATTTTTCTGTTCTTTTGATCTGTAGGAAGATGCTTTGGAAAGATCATAGAGATTTAGTTAGGAGAATAATAAAATCTCTTTCTGCCATTTCTTCTTTTGGCTTCTGGTCTATAGAGGTTTTACATTATGGATGTCAAGAAATACCTGTATTGGCGAAATATTTTAGTGTGCATACAGTATAGTATTTTGAATGGTCTCTACATAGTGTTCAGTTAGAAATACATCATAGTCTTGTAGTACAGTTATATGAAGCAAAAATGTACATACCGAAACTGAAGATAGAATCACAACATTTTTACATATTTATTAGCCCTTGCAGCATTGCTTTCTATAGGAATGTGGAAATCTATACGGTGTCTCTACTTCAAACGTATCTAAATAGCAAGATAATTCTAAATAATTTACCAAAGGGATAAGACTTTTTCACTCTGTTTTTTTTAAATATAAAGGTTTGAATTACTGCCTCTTATTAAATATTCTAGTTTCCTCATTCAGCTAGACTTTTGACCATTTTTGTTGTTAACTGAATCATTGCAGTTAAATAAATTGTAGTTGTTAAGCAAATCGACTTTTCCCCCATTGACCTTGCTTGTTGGAAGCCGGCTGGGAAGGTCACCAATGGAGATTACATGATCCTAGTACACGGCAGCCATTGTAAATACGTGCTGGTTGGCAAGGTTCTGAATTTTGATCACGGGACTGTAGGGATGTTGCCACAGTTGTAAGTGCAAGTACCGTCATAAGGCCTTTTTTTCCAGTTGTTAAGTTTGAATAGTTGTTGAATAAATATTTGTAAATTGAGGGGTACCTGTACTGCTGAAAAACCAAATTTCTCAAATGCATGGTTTTGCGATTGTCTTCCCTGCAGTTCCTTTGCCAGGGATTTCATTCAGTTTTCCTTAGAGGTTATTGGGTGTCAGAAATTCCCAACTACTATCTATTGTTTCCAATTTGCTCTTTCCTTGCCTCACTTTGGCATTTGCCAGGCTTTCTGCAACTGAGGAAATTCTGCATAATTTTTCAATAAATGAAATCAGCACTATATCGATTCCTTGCTTTTAAGAGCTAACTTCTGACCTTGCTTTCTGTGTGATGTAGTTTTAGTACAGCCTAAAACAAATTTATGCAGTCACGCTGAATATATCTGATACAATGCCCAATTAAAACCTGGCAAGATTTGCTACCAGGATAAAAAGATATAGTGCAGGCAAAGAATAAGCTTTTCAGAATATCATGTTCTATTATAATTGCTGTTATACGCAGACTAGCGATAGGTTTGTTAAAAAAAAGAAAGTCTTTGTATTTGCTGCATACCCTGCACATTTCCTTTGGTAATCTTATAAGAATCAATGCTTGTCAAATTGTTATCTTACCAATTTAAGCTAAGACACATAAGACTTCAGGTTATACTTTATAGGGAATCGGTATGTAGTCTTAAAGAGAAAGAAAATCTTCAGACTATTTCCATGAAAGGAGTCTAACTCTGAAGGATAGCTTGGCCTCCTCTAACAGGGATTCTGGAGTCATTTATTGTAGTAATGGATTCTAGGCATATATGTCATGTACCACTCCTGGAGAAACTCATTGATCTTCCTTTTTCGTGTGCAGTAATGAAAGTATCAATCAATGAAGGTCTATGACTGTTTATAAAACAGAACTGGCACAATGTCTACCTTAATTGAAGAAAACAGAGGATGGCAAACCAAAATCATAACTTTATTGTAAAAATTAATATGAAACACTGCTTTTGTTGAAGAATTAACAAAGGAGAGCCAAAGTGTTCTTCAGGGGAACCACAAGATTGGCTAAAGGGCAATGGTTTCAAACCCTAATCTTAATGAACTGACCCATGTCAGACAATTACAAATCTTGTTTGGCAGACAATTACAAATTTGGCAGACAATTACAAATCTTCCTGGGAAACTGATTCAAAAGAAAACGAATCTGTATATGTCTATGGAGATTCTCAGTCATCCAGGTCAGGGTTGTCCCAAAGGTGCTTTTTCACGAGGCAACTGGACGTTCTTGTTTTTCCTTGAAGACATTTCACTTCTCATCCAAGAAGCTTCTTCAGCTCTGACTGGATGGTGGGGAATGGAAGGATTTATACTCTTTGCAGACAGCTGGTCATTTGCATTCTTTTAGACGAATCTTTTGGATGAGAAGCGAAACGTCTTCAAAGAAAAAGAAGAAAGTCCAGTTGCCTCGTGAAAAAGCATCTGTGGGCCGAATCTGTATAGTTTCTCCAGTGATGCCATCTTAACCTTAGAGTTAAATCACGGTAGATCAATACTAGGGCAAAGGATCTTAGAGAAGGTCAAACAGAAATTGCTGCTTTCTTTCATAATCTTCTCAATTATATTGTAACTGTAAATAACCAAATTTTAATACCTGAACCTGCCATATATTTATATCATATCACAGTTCCCAAATTTAGGAGAGCTTTATTTTTAGCTTGATTTCATGTTCTTCCCACAGCTGTCCTGAAAGGGAAATACAGGAAATCCCATATGAAACCCAATACTGCCTCTCTGATGTAGGCACCATAGAAACGTCAGCCTAGGTTGTTCGGTATTGCCAGTTCTATAGGGACATTTGTCACCAGTGGATTAACTGGTGATCAATTTCTTTTAATGAAATTCCTGGGGGACTCTAATAGCTTTTATCCGCACTATCTATTAATCAAAGATAAGTTTATTTATTTAAAAGTAGCAAACTTTTGCTATATTATGTGTAAGCTTCCCGTAGAAATGGTTGATAATAGTTCTTGTTAGGAAATCATTTTCATTTTATTGATTGTATTTTTATTAATCAACGACCAGAACAATGTTCTGTCTGTCAAATGAATACAGAATGTTAAAACAGAAATATGTTCTTAGAATTACCTTAAATCATAAGCAGGAGTCAAGGAAAAGCCATTTTTGTAGCCAAAAAATGAGTCATGGGAGCATCTTTGTTTTACTTTCTATTTAAGTATCTAGATTATAATCTACTGAACTAAAATCCCTATCAGAAGCATTATTAAATATACATTCAAGTCTAGAATCAAATGACCTATGTAGTAAGCAATATATTTAGTTGGTTTGATTTTAACAATGAGCAATAGCAGCCCTTTCATAATCCTTCTATCTTACATGTCACTCTTCTAAAAGGTATCACCTATATATTGATTTCTTTTGTAGAAATCAAGCTTTTGATTAGTGATTGTTTTTTTTAAAAATAATTCTTAATATCATGCTTGCTAAGAAAGTTTTTTGGCCAATACATTTCAAGGTGAAGATAAAGAGTACATCTTTACAAACCTCGTTTTATCAAAAGAGAAGGTCTCTTGCTTTGGTTAATGATAATGAAAAAAAATGTCATCTGAAAAATGGACCAACTGTTTGAAGAATGACAGTCTAATTTTACGGTATACCTCTGATTATATTACAGCTGTTCCTAATTCAGTTTTTTTTTCCTGAGAATTCGAATATTAGCTTTTAAAATAGATGCTATCTTGTTCTTACATTTACTGATATATATTCAAAATATCCTTCCAGGAGATTATCACCTTGATATGGTAGAAAGGCTCAGTAACTTCAAATAACCTTGAAAGTGAGGATAGACCCACGAGTTTCTCAAAAACCAGCTTTGCCAGAAAAGTTCAAAGGGGGGTGGGGAATGAAGCTATAAGGGCTCCTT